GAGCAGGAAGGGCCTCGTCTCTCACCAGGATTCTCCTCCACGGCAGAAGCGATTTCAGATGTTTCCACCAACCACCAGGCTCCGCGGCTGCGGACTGCTCCTCAGGCTTCCTCGTACTCGGCACGCACATCACACCGGCTTTCGCTGCTGTATGACCCTCTTGGGAGGCGGCAGCAAGGCACCTCCCACCCTTGCTGCTTGGTCAGTCTTGTGCACCGATGGGCATGGTGTGCACCAGGAGACAATTGTGTCGAATGCACACCACAGTGCCCAGGGCAAGGAACTCACAAGGCCCGTGCAGGAGTTCTGGGCTCGTGTGCGACCGCTGCCGGGGTGCTGTGTGAGCCCACCCTTTCCTGCATGAGCTGTACTCCTTGCCTCCTTGGAGGGGGGCAGTGTGGGGACCCTGTCCCAAGCAGTGCTTCGCAGTGGTCGGGCATGAGCACCACAAGCCCTCACTCAGAGGCGCTGCTTCCCTCTGTGATTCCCACTTCAGGTTAAGCAAAGGGACCCAGGCTGAGCTGGTAACTCCAAGGGCTCCTCCCCGTCGCAGCTTTCCAGATCGGTAAGAGGACAGCTGGCCCTTGTGTGCTGACCTGTAAACCACGCCCTACCGCTCCCACTCCCCTCTCCAGCAGGGATGACTCTTTCAGAGCCTCAGAGCCTCAGGCGGTCATCTCTAAGTGGCAACAGCTGCTCTCTTAGCTGGCCTTTCTGGGGACTGGACATGAACGTGCTTTGCAAATTGTGGGACAGTACTCTGACGCTTAGTGTGCCCAAAGCCGGGTGCCTCCCAGGAGCCCTATTTCCTGAGTGCTGGAGGAGGAAAAGGTAGATGGAGAAGGAGGGGAAGGGAGACGGGATCCACACTGGAAGTTCTCCGTGGCTCTGGAGCGTCCTTATCACACGCCCTACCCCTCAGGCCTTGGATGTCTCCTGAGACACCGCAGCAGGGAGTGGAGTGCCGTGAGAGTGACTTGGCTGAGGTGTGACTGGGCCCTGGGACCCTGAGGGGACACAGAAGAGCAGGAGGATGTGCTTAGGGCCCTCAGCACTGTTCAGAGCACACAACGATGTTTTGATCGTTCCTAAAATCCTAGAAGAGAAAGAATAATATATTCCACTGTGTCACAGCACAGTCACAAAATTCTAAGCGATTATTTCTTTTTGTGGGTGAAGTTTTACTAAAGCAACAGGCCCAAGGCTCAGGGACAACAAAATATAGCCCTGGGGGAGGCAGTCGACCGCGCGGGGACGCTTCTCCATCCACACGGGGTTCCACGGATTTTCTCAGCTGGTGCAGCTCGTGTTCAGTTCATACGGGGTTCTCCTTCTATTAATCAAGATGGAGCTTCTCTTGGATCAGAACTACTTTATCTTTATAACACTAAAGAGAAGGGGCTTTATTGGTTATCTGGCCACCACAATCATCACGATGGTCATCACCTTTTTATTTTTGTAGGCATAGAGAGCCCACAGCGAGGCTCAGCAGGATTAGCAGCTTCTCTCCAGGGACTGCGATTAGTCAACATGTTATCTGAGATTTTCAACTCAGGCTGGAAATTGACGGCATCTTGCTGCGGGTGACATTAGCTGGGTTCATCCTTCTTGCAGTAATTCATCTATTAAGAAACCTTTGGAAAGATTTTGGACTAACATGACCGCTGCAGCTGGCATCCACATGGTCCCCTACAGGGCTCGGAGCAGGAGGCCTGGTCTGCGGTGCTCTGCGGAAGCGCTGGATGCGGAGGTGAGCCGGCCTGGTGGGAGGAGCCAGACCGCTTGGGGGCCGCGCCTGGCGACGATGGGGACCCGTCCCTTCCTCTCCTCCTTTTGTTTCTGGCCGCCAGAGCTGGCCAGCTGCAGCTGCATCGCCCATGCTTCTGTCGTGGGCACTGTACCTCTACTAGCCAAAGAGCAACGAGATCTGGCGGCAATGGACTGAAACTGTCAATCAAGAAAAGCTCCGCTGTGACACTGTGGCTTTAGGACTCCACAGTCATGCGCACCCACGCACGCATGCACGCACGCACACCCAAGCAGGCGCGCACGCACACGCACGCACGCACGCACGCACGCGCACCCCTTTCCCCGCAGAGACACCTTGGGCGCCGTAGTGGGAGATGACGTCACAAGCAGGGGAACGTCCTGATTCTCGCTTTTCCTTGCGTAGGTAGCCGCAACAATTCACTTGTGAACGGCGCACGAGGTTTCATTTCAACGATGCGTTCTAATGTCTGAATAAAATTTATAAACCATTCTTTATAACTGGAAGCGGTAATTCTTTTCCCATAATGATGTTGGGGAACACTGACATAGGTTACAATGCGGTGTGTGTAAACAGCTGAAAGGAAATCGCTGTCTGTATCTTAAGGACTGGAGTACGAGGTGTGACATTTTCAACTCCACTTATTTTCTTCAAAAGCTGAATATCAATTGCGGTTTTCACAGGATAGAGAAGTCTGCGCTCCAACACACGCTCTGAGGACCCAACTGGTTAGGAAACCGCAGAGAAATTGTACTTCTGACATTGAGGTAAATACACCTATGAAGTTTTTCAGTTGACAAGGGAGCACTACAATTTCGACCCCTAAAGGCGCTATCTCAAGCAGTAGGGTATTAGCTCTAATTGGCTTCTGATCCAGGCATTTCAACCTCATAAACATTTTCTGGGTGAAGAACCTGCTCAAACCAATGAAGCTGGAGGAGGGGAGAGGGCTCGTGTTGAACACCTGGAGCATGGGGAGTTCTTCCCACCTGAAGAAGCCGTCCTGGGGTCACAGCCAATACCGTGCGTCTCCCCTTCCTGATCCTGGAAGGCAGTCATGAGAGCTCAGTGACCACGGCACAGTTCACGCTTTCTTCGGAGATTGCGCCTTGCCTGAGAATGACAGCCCACCGAGAGCCCGCGCCTGACCTGTGCGGCATCTTGGCTCCGGGCAGACCTGGAACACTCTTCCAGGCTTCTGTGTCTCCTCTGGCTCCCATCTCCTTCCCACAGCTGCAGAGGCTCTGAGCCTCAGCACTGTTGGGCCAGGTTTGGGCCAAAGAGTTCTTGCTGTGAGGGGCTCTTCTTAATTGGAGGACGCGTGCCCCCTCGTCTCAAGCCACTGGGTAAGATGAGCACTCTGCTTTCCCAGGGATGTCGCCAAAGCATCACCAAATGTCCTGGGGAGTAGGGAGAGGAAGGAGCAAAACTCCCATGTTGAGAGCCACTGCTCCAATCCACAGGGCTCCCCAATCTCAGAATGCTCCCAGGAATCGCATGGTCAACCAGGTTTTCCAAGAAACCTTAGCCTCAAGTGCTGCAACCAACCAGGCCAACAGTCTTAGTGCTTGCTGAACTATTCCAGAGGGGATAAGAAGATGCGGGGAATTGATACTTTCTAGACACTCCGCAGCGCATCTGGTGTGTGGACAGGATAGAGAACCTCCGAACTAAGTCTGCTTAGCAGTCTTAGTATGAGAGAGAGAGAGAGAGAGAGAGAGAGAGAGAGAGAGAGAGAGAGAGACAGAGAGAGACAGAGAGAGACAGAGAGAGACAGAGAGACAGAGAGGGAGGGAGAGAGAGAGAGACAGAGAGACAGAGACAGAAAGAGACAGAGACAGAGACAGGGAGGGAGGGAGGGAGAGAGAGAGACCTATTAAAAAACAACTGAGCGATTTATTTCAAATAGGGAGGTTCAGCTGGCTTTGAGTAAGAGCAAATCTGTGCTTCTCCACTGGCCATAGAGCAGCGGCCGTCAGAGACGTTTCCCACTTTCGGCATCTTTCTGTTGCGATCACAACCCTGGTGGGAACCCAGGGTCTCTTGGGCATGCCCGGCCTTAACAGATGTGAGGATGCGTCTCTTTCTGAAGAGCGGTTCTCAGGGTGGCTGTGGCCTCCAGAGGCTCTGCTTGAACTGGCTGTGAGCCAGAGGGCTTCACGAGAAGAGGCTGAGCAAGAGCAGATTCCCTGAAAGCCGCTTTTGGAGCTGGCCAGGAGAGAGGCCGGAGACTTTGCAGCACGAAGAGTGGCTTCGGAAGACCCCTGTAATGTCTCCAGCAGACGCCGGCTGCCACACTGCCACCTCTGTCCTTCGTTTTCAGCTTAGTAACAGAAGACATAAATCCGGAGAATGCAGGATCTTAGGATCTTATGTTGCAGCCTCGGGGAGCACGAGGCCCACAAGGCATACATCCCCGGGAAGCTTCTTCCAGCCAACCAGGAAAGGCTGGCAGAGATTCTCAGCCCGTTATGGGGCTTCTGAAAGCTGGAGGGTTGCATGAGGCCATGTTCAGCTTTCCAAGAAATCTTGGCCAACTCATGTAATATCCCTGAGATTTTGTTTCTTTACCTGAAAAATGGGCATCACGGATTAAATTATATGCTGTATATGAAGGTGTGTAGCGAGTTGTAACACCCAGTAAGGGTTAGTCTCTTTCCAGTGGCTTCCCACCTTAAACGGTCTTCCGGAGCCGGCTCCGCTGCTCTGCAGGCTTCTGGGATGCGTAGGAAATAACGAATGACACAGCCACGACTTCACTTGCCAAACGGCTGTCCTCAAGTGGGCAATTAGAAAAATACATTTCAGGTGAGAAGACAGCGTGATGTATTTTTCTTGACTGAGGTCACAACTGTATTTTAGGTTGTTATATACTAAAGACCAGGAAATTAATTGGCACTGTCTAAAATGCGGAGGAGCAAGGGATTAATCTGATAAATGGTTTCCATTAAAAAATTCCATTTGGTTTCCCAAATTTCTCTTGTCCCTGGAGGTTTCTGAATGCTGCAGCGCCCTTCCCCTGCGCTTCCTGCTGCAGTCTATGGCTTGCTGACTCTGTGGGTTTGGAGAGCGCTGGTAGCTACACAAAGGCGGCGGCGGCGGCGGCGGCGGTGGCGGCGGTGGCGGCGGTGGCGGCGGTGGCAGCGTTGGCGCTGAGTAACTGGGGAGCTGGCCCTCGAGTTCCCTGGCTCGCGGAGGAGAACTGAAACAACTCTTTCGCCTTTCAGGCCGGGTTTCAGGTGACACTCAGAATGCGATACTTACAGATATCGACCAAGAGGCTTTGGGCGACCAAGAGGCTTTGGGTGAATTATTTCATTCGAGTGACTCAGCTGAGGCCACCCAGTTGGGGGTTCCCACCAAGGGAGCAACAAAGAGGGCAGGAGAGAAGGCTGTCTGGGGGAGGTCAGTGCTGCTCTGGGAGGGGTGACTGGTAGGGAGAAGGTCGGTTTTTCCAAACCTTCACTCGGGCACACTTGCGATCAGATGTCCCGCTGAGCGGGCAGAGACAGACGGGCGGGCTCTGTCCTAGTTGTACCAAAACATGCAGACACACGGACACCATCTTGTCCGAAGCACACACCAAGCCAGCAGCGCGTCCGGAGCCAAAGCCCATCTCTACATTGCAACACTGAGTTCGTATTTCTCTCGCTTGTCCTCCGGCTGCTCCACCTTGAAGCTCTGCTCAGGGTCCGGGTGGTGGATCTCGATGAGTAGCACGTAGGTGAGGCCTCCGAGGGCGGCGCCGACCATAGGGCCCACCACAGGAATCCACCAGAAGTGGTGGCCGACTCTGAAAGCACACAAGACCCAAGTGACCATCCCCGAGTGACCATCCCCGAGTGACCATCCCCGAGTGACCATCCCTGGGCCTTCCTCCTGGGAGTTCACTTCTGGGGGGCTTTGTCAGGCATGCAGCACCTTTCAGCTCAGGAGAGCTAAGTACAGCGTGAGTCACCGTGGTGGGGCAGCCCTCGTCCTGGACTTCCTGGGGTGCCTGATTTAAATCCCTCTCCCTTGGCCCTGACATCTGTGGGAGGTTATGAACAATTTATGTTCCTTTTACAAAATACAGTGCCTGGGCCCATAGTCAGGCCAGAGGGTCTCCAGAGCAGGCCAAGCCTACCATCAAGGGTTTGCCTTTCCTTTATCCTGAAGTAATCAAGCCTGGGCGTTCTGAATGGCAAGAAGATGCCTGAAATGTGGAGGAACATGAGGCAAATCAAAATAAATAAAGATATGCTCTGTGCGTGGCCTGAGCTTCTCTCCAAAACCTTCCAGTCAGCACATCCTAGAACCAAGACAGCAGGTGGCCTTGTGGGTCGTCACCATCTTTGTTTGGAGGGAAGAAATGTATTCAAGTAACGCCACGGAAAAGCCCAGTCAGGAGCCCGTAACTTGACTGAGGACAGGAGCCCCTGCAGTAGAAGCATTTGTAAAAAGCAAGGGCGATGACAAATACCAGCAAGCAGAATCGCGCCTGGAAGGCAGGGCCAGGGGCCAGGTGGATGGAGCGCGGGGACATGTGCAGAGGCCACATGTTCAACTGGGTTCTAGCATCTTAGCTAGGACTTTGACTCTGGAGGGACTCAGGGCTGCTGTCCCCATCCTGATGCTTGACTGTGGCAGGCCTGTCCAGGGGCTTTTTGTTTAGATCGAATTTGACTAGAAGAGATAATGAAGGAAGCCGACAGGAGCCCAGAGCCCTGTCCCTGACTCTAGGAGACCCTCCAGGTACCCCCTGGGGCCTGGGTCCGGTCTGCACAGTGGCTGTCACCTGCCCTGTCAGGACGCTCAGACCTAATCGCCAGTATGACTGGACAGCCCAGCCCGGCCCGTGACTGAGCAGAATGGCCACCAGATGTCGCCCTTGCTGCGTGGCAGGGGTGCTGCGCTGGGCTCTAGGCATCCTCAGAGGGTCTCTTGAGAAACAAGGAGGCCCCGGGCTTCTCAGCTGGCCTTGAAGAGCCCAGAGAGGACGTGGATGGTGTCATTTCCTTTCAAGGTTGCCTGTCCCTCTCTGTCACTTAGCAGATGAGGGATCCAGATAGCTGCCAGGGCAGAGGACCACACCCTGGGCCAGGGGCACCAGGGGCACCAGGGCCCACGTCCCCGAGGAGAACATGGCCTGGCCCTGTGTCGCAGGCGGAGTGGTCCTTTGCACCCCAGCACTGTGGCTGCAGGAGCAGGTCTGCGTTCCTGCTCAAGGACCATCTTTAGGAACTTACTACTTTGAGTAACCTATTTAATTAATAACACCACAGAGGTCTTTCACCTGTCAGAGCATTAATGTCCTAACTAGAAACAATGGAAAGAACTTTGAAAATGTCTAAATATTCAAGAGCAAAGCAGGAGTTGGCTCATGTGCTGGCTATTGTCCTGTCCAGCCCTCCGGCTGCCACACCCCTGCCATCTTCCGCTCTTGCCCTGCCGGGCTGAGGTGCAGGCTGGGGCTATGCAGCTGGATCTGAGCTGAGCCTCCGGAGAGAAGCCAGGAGGTTTGTGGTGCTCACAACTTCGCTGGAGTGCTGAAAGGACAGGACACTCTGGGACACCTTGGTGGCCTGTTGTCCCTCAGAGTTTTGGGGAAAGGTTTTAGGTTGAGGATTAGCAACCACCCAACTCTTCCCTAATGAATTTCTGCCCCTCTACTCTGTTCGTCTTCAGCCCATCTTGCAAGCTGATGCTAGGCTTGCTTTGCTAAGCTGACACTCTAAATGCACCACGAATCCTTTGCTGTTCCCTTCCACTTACAGAAGGGGAGAAGGAAACCCCAGAATTCTTGCTTTGGGAGCCCGCATTTTCCATGACAGCTGTTTCCCCTTCTAGCCTTCCTTGGTATATGCAAGATCACTCGCTGTTTTAACATTCTGCCTTGAGTCAGGGCCCTCGGGGCTGAGATGCCCTTTCTTGCCCACGTGAGCCTGTCTAAGGACTGCAGGGCAGCTCCTCCTTTCCCCTAGAAGGCCTAGCTCTGCCCTTGGGGGGAGGCGCAGCACGAGCCCCTTTTTCCTTCCCTCCCGACACTGTCATTTACCTGAAGACATCGAATCCCCATCCTGCCAGAGCCGTGAAAAGCCTGGGGCTTAGGTCTCGCGCTGGGTTCATGGCGCAGCCACTGTTCAGTCCCAAGGAAGAAGACAGGACCACGATCAGCAGGCCGATGACCACGGGCTCCAGGCCTCTGGGGACCCCTAGGTTTCTGGAGTCAAAAACGGCGAAGACCACAATGAGGAGGAACATGGTGGACGTTACCTGGGGAGAAAACGGGCAGGAGGTTTAGCGTGTGTTGCAGCCAGGCGCGGGACTTCTACATTCACATTTGTTTTTAAAAAATGAATCCAGAGATACTACCTTCACTTGGTGTGTGCGGAACTCTTCTCCACCCAGAGTAGAGGCTAAAATAAGGGCCCTCTAGAGATCATTTATCTGCCCAAGGTGGAGGACTGGGGGAGTGGCGCAGCTCTGGACCAGAGCCCTCGGCCTCCTGTCTACACAGCTGGGCTACTGCACTGAGCGGCTACTCAGCTAAGTGGCAAGGCTGGCACAGGCTGGCACGGGCTGGAGGGGAGAATGGAGCGGGCAATTGCTTACTGAGAAAAACTGGGAGGAAGCCGCAGATGAACATGCAAAGGAACCCCAAAATTCATAAAAGAAAGATTGGATTAAAAATAAGTGTGAAAATCTAACTTATACTGCAGTAATGCAAATAATACCAAGTATTAAGGGAAGAAGGCTGGTTCTTCTAGAATCTTCTGGTAGAATTAAGCACATGCTGCACTCGGAAAGGACTTTCTACGACAGCTTAACAATATGCTTATGTTTAAAAACATAAACTTATAATCTGATGCTGCTGGGTGTTTGAGAATCACACCATGGAAATATTCTAAGTCATGGAAAAATTATAAAACTCTTAAGTTCATATTGAAGAGGGAAGAGCTGACAATGCTTGGCACACCTATTTCACGGTCCATTACAGCCATTAAAAACTATACGACAGCATAAAGTGTTTACGACATGAAATGAAAAATTGCATGTGCCTTGGTTTATATTTAAAAACACATAAATGAAAAATGGTGAGAGACTTCATGAAAATGACACAGCTGCGCTCAAACAGTGGATCAAAGCTGATGTTTTCCTCTATTTTTATAAACTGTGTAGATGTCGTTTTACTCTCGTAGCTCAGTGCCAGCTACTGTGTGCGGAGTATCCCTCGTGCTACGGCCTAACGGCTGCCGCGTTCTGCCTGCTGTGAGCCTGGTGCGTCCTGGGCCGCGTGCGTCTCCTTAAGCCTCCCGATAACCCGATGGTGAGGTCAACCCTGTTCTCCTCAGGTTATGATGAAGACTGTGGAGTAGAAGTTACGACACTTGCTCAGCGGTGTGCAGCTCATGGGCAGAAGGATCAGATGGGAACCAGGAAACTGGTTTCAAAGCTCCTAGCATTTCATCAGCTTTCCAAAATAAGAACCTTAGAAGAACCTGGATTCAGAGGGAGAGACACGATTGCCCAGAGTCTGTTCTCTAGGAAGCCTTTCCTGGCTCTCTTGAGCACAGTGCAAGTGTGGACTTTACTTCTATCGCTGCCCTTACTGCTTTGCAAAAGAACAGCCTGCTCATGTGTCCTAGTGGGTCTCTAACCCTGAGCTCCCTGAGAAGAAGAAACAGCTGGGAGTGGCGCCTGCTTCAGAAGACGCCTGGTGGACATTTACGGGCTAAATGAATGATTCACTACTGACTAAATCTTGAAATGTGCCTGAAAATATGGAAAGCCAAACAATAATTTGAAAGTAAAGTGGCCCAATAATACAGTCACGGTGGACAACCATCCAGTTGGGAGGAGGAAGAGCGGGTTGGCGAGGGTAGAAGGGGCAATCCTCGGTGTCTGCCCGCTCTGCCTCGGGGATGCATGGTTGTGGGGTATTAATCAGGAATGTGGAGGTTGCCTCTCTGAAGACTGAACGAGGGCTCCCATGGCCTGAACTAGCCAGGCAAGGGTGAGCGGGGTAATGAGAAGAGGTGGGCTGGGCCTGGTCTCTCTGGTGCTGTGCATGTTGTAATTCTGAGGGACACTGCGTCACTTCCTGGGGCTTGGGGCGGCCTCCTGTCAGGGAGGTCTCTGGGGTCCTGAACTAGGTCCCAGGGGAAGGGAGAGGCTATGGAATGGGGAGTGTCGTGGCTCCAGGACTGTGTGGGCATGGGCTTCCTCTGGCGCAGCTCCTGGGTGGCCCGAGAACCCAAGAAAGCACGGTCAGAGAGGCCTTCATGGTACAAGTCAAGGCTTGAAGGACTCAGTCTCCTCCCCTGGCCTCCTTTGGGAACGACCTAAATCCATGCGAGAAGTCTCCAGGGTCCTTCTAAGGCTCTGCTCCCACCGCTGGCTGCTGCTTCATTCGAGGAGTTTGGCCTGAACTGAATGTGGTCATCAAGAAGCCCACCTCAGAAATCCATCTGAGGCAGCCCTGCCCCCGTACCAGCGTGACAGACAGGCAGCTTACCAAGCTAGGTCTTGGTGGGCACTGAGGGTGACAAGTCCCTGTGTCCTGGACCTTCTGACCTGCCTGTGAGGACAGACTCGAGGCACTCTGGCGCTCCGAGGAGTGATCTCACTACCTCCCTCTCTTAGCAGACACTGATGCCAGAGCGCCGAGCCATTCGCCTTGGGTGGGCGAGTTCTCCCCCCTCGTTATTTCTCTCACTCTCTAACACTTCCGGTGCTGCTGTCCTAAGATTATCAGACCATGATGACCTTGTTGGAAAACTCCTGTTTCCGGCCAGCAGTAGGCCCCAGCCTTCCCTCCAGCACCTCTCGTTATTGTCCTGCGAAACATGGTCTGTCCTTAGCCCACTCCCATTTTCTAGAATGGTCGTCCCTCCATGGAATGTACCTTTATTTCAGCGTGCCAGTGGTCCCCCTCCCTGTCTGTGCGGCCCCACTGCATCTCCACCCTCTCCCCTTCAGCAGCATGGCCCGTAGAAGGGACGTCGGGAAACGAGCCTGAGGCTCTCAGGACAGGGCAGGCCAACACCCTCCCCGCCAGTCCTCCTCTCTGCTGGCCCCCACATGGCGCAGAATGCGTTTACTATTAAAGAGGAAGCAGAACCCTTCTAGGCATCAACTTCCCTCAGGACAGAGACATCAAGAGGCGCGGCTCTGCCCCGGGCCTCCTGCTTCTGGAGGGCACAGTCGTCCTCCCCGCCAGGCCTGCGGCTCTTCAGCAGCTCTCTTCGGCCCCGGCTTCCCACTAACGTTAAAGCCTGTTCGGTCCACACCTACTTGGTCTGCAAATGCGTTCACCAGAGACAGGTAATGCGCTGGGTAGGTCGCGAAGATGTGCGCGGTTGCATTCTCGCCCATGATGAGCAGCTTCCCGCCCGCGAAGGACATGAGCCCGTCTGTGGAGGACAGAGTCCTGTCAGGTTAGAGCTCCGGGAAGGTGGGGGGAGCCTCGGCGACCCAGTAGCCGCCACCCCGCTGGGCCGGCGAGTCTGCGCCACTCGTCTCTTGCGGCAGCGTGGTCAGATGTCCGAGGGGTGCGCAGGGAGCCGCAGGATGGGGCGTCAAAGGAAAGAAGCCCTTGGTGGCCATGGAGGCCCACTCCAGGCTTGGGCCACACCCTGCGCTAGTGGGTCCAGAGCGTCTTCCTTGAGCAGAGCTCTTGGGGTTGTGGGGACTAACTGAAGGCCAACACGGAGCTTGAGCCTGCTCTGGGGGAGGGCACGGTCCCTGCAGGCTCCCAGCGGCCCCCTGTAACACACCTCTAACCTTGAAGGCCTCACCATGTGGGGCAGCCTGGGAGGGGCCCACAGAGCCAGCACCAGGAGGGCGGCAGCCAGCCCCGCCAGCGCAGCCAGCCAAAGGCCTCTCCCGCCATAGTAGCTGGCCCTGAATTTTGGGGCGGGCCTTCCATTCCCCAGTAAATGCCCCTCAGGACCTGCAGTCTCAGAAGCACACACTAGGGAAGATGCCTTTCCTACAGCCTGTTTCCCAGAGCCTCAGTCCATCACCGCATGCTCCCAGGGCTCTGCTTGACTGCCACAAGGTATGGAGCCCGCCGTGGGCTCGCTGGAGGGGAAAGTTTAACAGGTGATTTAGTGGAACCCCAAGATTTCCTAGGCTAAAGGCTTGGGGCCATCTAGCTCAGTGCCCTCATTTTCTAGAGGAGGAAACTGAGGAAAGTCAGCTCAGATGACGTCTTGTGGCCCACTTCTCTGTGGCCCACTCCCCAGAGGCCTTGTCCACATACTTCCGGGTCAGGGCCCTGGGGAGCTGGAGGGAGCAGGGGAGACTGGGGCTACCGCTTCCTCTGCGCTGGCAGTCGGCACTGCAGTGCCTTAGGCTGAGCGGCCGACTCCTCTCCGCAGTCTTGCCCCGCTTCCAATGGCATGTTCTTATGGAGAGGTTGCATAAATTCGCCCCAAGGACACCGCTGGCTGCCTCCTTATCTCCCACCTGGAATTTCCCAGGGTCACAGAACATTTCCTGTTCATGCTGTAGTAGCTCATCTCATCCTGATGGATAATTCTGACTTCCCAGTGACACCTGGCTCGCCACGATCTTCGAATGCGGTGCCTCTACTCACCATAATAAACGCCAAAGAGGACCGCAGACCCTGCGAAGGCCCCCAAAAACTGGGCCCCCACATAGAAGGGCAGCTTGTACCATCTCATCCTTCCAAAGAGACACAGCGCGAAGGACACGGCTGGGTTGATGTGGCCACCTGCAAGGGCGAGAAAGGTGCAGGGACATCAGAGGGAAGCCAGGAAGCAGATGCCGCAGGGAGGCTCTGTGGGGACACCGCAGCCTGAAGTCAGTCTGCTAGGTAGAGAATGCTGAATAAAAAGAGGTGAGGGATTGGGAAAGGGGCAGGGGGTGAGGGAGGGAAGGAGACAGAGGGAGAGAGGGAGAGAGTGGGAGAGATAGGGAGGGGGAGAGAGAGAAAGAATGAAGGGGAGAGAGAAAAAGAGGCAGAGGAAGGGAGACAGAGCAGGAGAAAAAGGGAGAGGGAGAGATAGGGAGAGGAAGAGAGAGAAAGACAGAAGGAGAGAGAAAGGGGAGGAAAGGAGAGAGGAGATGGCAGAGATGGGGGAGGGAGAGAGAGAGAGAGAGAGAGAGAGAGACAGAGAGAGACAGAGACAGAGACAGAGAGATTTAGAGACGCAGCGCTTAGGTGAGAAGACCAGTAATCCCCATGACATCACTAGATATGGCTTAGAATGTTTGTCTTAATGAAAAGGAAGAGTCGGATGTAATAAGAAACTTGATGTGCTCAAATAGTTCATTTTTATGGGCTTTTATCTACTGATAAAGCAATAACCCCTCATAGATTGATGTGAACTATTAATGTCAATATATTTTTAAAACTCAGTGTACTCATACAATATATGGATGAGCTTTAAATCGATACTAGTGCTTCCTCAGCCCATGCCCAGAGGCTGTAAAAGTCCAGGCCTGACCAGAGGCGTCCCTTGAAAGGGAATGGGCCCTAAGACGGATGCTTTCTGTCTCTGAGGCCATCCCAGGGTCTGAGTTGCTTCTCTTCTGCTGCTCGGTAGAGCAGCGCGCCTCTCTCAGCCCACTCAGACGACAGCGGGCAAGCAAGCTCCCTGGCCTGTGCCTACCTACGCGACCAGTAGCAGGTTGCTCCACTGAAAGTCACTAATGTCCCAGCTGGGTTTGCACGTGCCGAATGCTTGCACATGCCAACGTGGGGGCTGCTCAGATTGCCTGGTCAGGTCCTGATCCCTTTGCTAGAAATACAGCTTCTACCAAACACACCCCCATAGTTCTGGCCCTCACCCCTCTGCCCACAGTGGTTTAATTCTAGCTCTGTGGTCAGAGCAGAGGCCTCCCGCCACCCCCTCGCTCCCTCTTGCCCTTCCGACTGTCATGGCCCATTTCCCTCCTGAAAGCCTCCCCGCATTTCCAAGTACAGCGGTGGGTGCAGGTAGACATGGTCCCTGGGAGGGCGACGCTGACTGGATGGGCAGAGCATGCGCAACGGGGCCCACGAGCTCCTCGCTGAGGTCAGCCCCGGCAGCTTTGCAGGCTAGACGCTCCAGCCGGAACTCCCCAAGACAGACAGCCAGCAATAGCCCGCTCACACACAGGCTCTCAGGAGTCAGTGAACGCTGGGAAGACCTCAGCGGACAGCAGACTCGCCGCTTTGAGCCAGGAGAGCGTCTCCTGTCCGGCGCCCAGCCTCTCCCTCTCCAGCCCCGCCTGTCTGCAGCAGGCCCGAGTGTTGCTCTGCTCAGTGTTGGGCTGGGGTCAGGGGTGGTACTGGGTCCTCAGCACAAGTTCAGTGAGAGGTTGGGTGCAGACGCTGCTCATGCCCAACCCCCCCCACATGCATGCACGCACATACCCACACACATACATGGACACACACCTGCACGCACATGCGCACACACACACACCACACACACACTGTATGCCTGGATCCCCCAGGACCTGAGTCCGGCATGGAAAAGGTGTGACCACCCGACGACCATGTGGGCTCCCACCAAGGCTCCAGGGGCTCCCGGCGATCGGTCTTGGACAGAGTGCTGCTTCTGTCACAGTGCCAGGCAGCTCAGTGCCTGGAACTTTTGCTGGGGTCATTTCGCCCACAATAGGTCACCGGAAATGTCACAGAAGAACGTGGGCTTTCCTGGGCCAACTCCTTGCTTGGCCTTTCTACCTCCCGTGGGACTTCTAGTTGTCTCCTGAGTCTCCACAGCCCCACTTTCCCCATAGAATGAGACGGTAACCTCCACCTCAGGGTGCTGCTGTGCAGGAGAAGGGATATTAACGATGCCCAGGTCCCCACACAGTGGCTGCCCGGGTCCTGCACTGTCCCCGGGGCCCAGGGGCTCCCCAGGTCCCTTGCTCTCTGTCGCCACATCCTTGTACCCATGCTCACCCACACCGGCTGTGCAGAGCCCTTCTGCAGTCACAGTTACATTAAATATTGCTTCACTTTGCTTCGCAGAGCCTTGTGAAAGCCTCCCAGTCAGCATCCTCTGAGGGCTGAATTAGACCACAGACTCCCTAGATCACACAAGCGCCACGCAAGCTGTGTCCACCCTGAAGGAGACCTAAACCCTGTCTGGCTGCTGTTGATCACTGTCCAGCGCTGTCGGGCTGCCCCAGTCTCACTGGTGGGTGTCTGGGAAATGGTTCTAGAGCACACAGAGGTTATGCAATTGCAGGAGACTGTGGTCCAGAGGCCAGGCTCAGGGCTGAGTCCATTCTGGGTTCTAGCCCGCATCTCTGTCTCCTGCCACATGCTGCTTTTGCATAACCACTTACTTGTTTGCCGCGCTGTCATCTATAAACATGGGTCAGATTCATATCTGTGCAGAATTGATGAGCTCAAAACAAATGGAGGTACGTGAAGTGCTCAGCACCCTGCTGGGACCCTGGGGTGTTACAGCAGCTGTCGCTACTTCTACCACTTACCAGAGACACCGCCAGTCACGTAAATGGCCATCGCCACCGCCATTGCAAATCCCACATTGATAGTGACGATGCTTCCAAACATTCCTCTACTGAGGACAGCTTGGGCGACACAGCCACAGCCCAGGACCTGGAAGGGAAGGGGAGGAAATGTCACAAGCAGGTGGACATGGCCACCGTCGATAGTGACAGAAAGTCAGGTAACAAGAGTACTTTTAAAGCCGAGTTGTGGGTTGGGACCCTTGGGCTTCCTACAAAT